TTTTAGCAGTGGCCTTCCAAGTAACAGTGATAATAGTTATGATTTATGTGCCCCATACCTCATGCACATCATATCTAAGCTGTTCTCTGACCTGCAAGGTGGGTGCCCACTTTCTGATGAGGCAGCTGAGGCCCTGAGTGTTGGGGTGCCTTCCGTGCTGGCACGCTGCCGGGGCCACGGCCGTGCTGGGCGGGGGCTCCAGCTCAGCCTGGCACTGCTGTCTCTGCCGGGGGTGGCAACAGCTTTCTATTTCTTCGTTTAAATACCACGCAGCCCCCATATGGTTCCTTTGGTTTCAGGCAGTATCACATGTGAGTCACACTTGGCTAATTCATAGTCATGAAATTGTATGAGAGATCACTCTTGCATGACAACAGCAAGCAATCAAAGGATTCTGCGTTTACAGACTCTTAAATCACTGAGACAGGGTTTGGAACTCAACAAAGAATAGACTAAGCGGGCTTGGTCTATTGAGGATGTCAGTGACTGTGCCACCAGCGAGGAGCCCTGGGTCCCAAGGAAAAGCAAGAGGAGGACGTGGGTTGCTTAATTAGCCTGCCTTTCTGGCTGAGCCCGGGGTGTCAGGAGCAGGTGGGCTTCGCTCAGCTACTTAGAAGTTGCCTGATGTTTCGTGTGTGAGATGCCACCTGTGCAGTTCTGTTTTAAAATGATGGGTACTAGCATCTGTATACATAATTTAAAATAAATTTACATTCCTGTTTTGCCTGCGATGATAAGCTAGTGTGCCAGTGTGACTAGAAAAAAGAGTAAGGGTTTAGGGAAGGGTGGAGAGAGGCATTTTATACATTTTAAGATTCAAAATTTTTGGCGTAAAGTTCTTCCTGTTAAAGCTAAGTAGACAGTTGCGTAGAGAGCCAGGCAGATGGATAAGAAAGGAGGGAGAGACAGACACATGGAAGGATGGCAGTTTTCATTGGGGTGGTGGATCGTGCATGCATTTTTGTTCATATCCATCAGTCTTTTTACAAATTTCCTATAACTAATGAAAGCATGATGTAGGAAGTGACCTGAAATAAGCCTGGAGGGGTAGACAGGGCCAAGTCATGGACTCGGTGTTAGTCATTACTATTCTTCATCACATATTCCCATTTCTCTTGGTTCTGAAATGTGAGAAAACGCAACCTCTGTCACTGCTGGGTGGAAGCCTTCGAGATCCCACGTGCAATTTTTCACATTCCCTTCCCCACTCCCCACACTGTAGAGGCCAGGGATGTTATAGGAGGGGGATGTTTCATCTGCCCGGGACCCTGGCTACCCATGAGGAACATGGCCCCACTGACCCGGGGTGGACCTGGAACGCAAGCAAGTGATAATCCTTGGTTGTTTTCAGACACAGAGGTTTGGGTTGGGCAGAGGCTGCTCTTTACTGAAGCATATCCTGACTGATACGGAGACTCTGTGTGAGCTGTGCTGAGGGATCTGGACCATATATTGTTAGCCGTTTCAAGCTACAAAAGGATTTTAAGCTGGGACTTTGTTTATGTGTTTGTTTTTTCAATCCAGAGAGCAGACTCTGGCCAAGCAAGGCCAGTTGGCCTGTGCTAATTCTAATATCTCTTAACAGAAAACTCACCAGTTTCTGAGTGGTGATGAAATGTTTCTGTGTCTTGATGTGGTAAAGATCATATAAATTTATACATGTGATACAATGCCATTGAATTATGGGCAAAGATGTTACAAATAAAGAAATTGAGTGCATCCAAAACCTGGTGAAATCTTCACAATGTCTGAGGCGTAGTAGCTTACACAGTGCTGGTGCCAGTGTCATGGCTTGGACGACGTGCTCTGTATACACGGGGACGATGTCACCACGGGGGAATGCTGGGGCTTGGGGGGGTGGGCACTCTAAGTACCACTTCTTGAGAGTTTATAATTAGTTCCAAGTCAAAATGAAAAGCAACAACAGAAATTTCATGAGTTAAACCGAAAAAGTGAATCGTGGTGAGTCCCGGATGTGAGGCCAGACTTGGTGGAAGAGCTCACGATGGCAGATTAGGTCTCCTGCCTTCGCCTCGCAATGGGCAGTTTGTGCTTCAGCAATGGGGTCCGTGAGCCACTGCATGTTCATGCAGAGCGTGTCTCATAATAAACACTTCATAAAGTTGCTAAGTTTCTTACAGAATCAGAAGTTAACTGCCCACCCCCAGCACACACACACACGAGCACACACATCCCCTCATTCTAAAAGCTGTGATTTTCTTTCACTGGATATACTGTATTGCACACAGTTTCACTACATTTCTCAGGGTCAGCAGTAGAAACAGAAAGCTGATACCAAGGGCAGGAGCATTACCTGAGTGATAGTGTGTGGACTTGAATCACTGTCCCCAGGAGCCTAGTAACTCACGGCCTGTGGATTAGTCTGTTGAACTACTTGATGGCTGGCGACCCCCGGCTCCCCCTGGATGTGTATGTTCTGATTTTGTTCTTATTGGTAGTGGCAGCTCTGTGCTTTATTTTGAAGTGAAAGGGGAGGACCAGAAGGCAACTTACCAACTGCAAGTTACACGCGGAGAAGAATGTGAAGGCCCACTTGGCCCTGCCATCATTTTCGTTGGAAAATTGCTTTGGGGTCATCGTCTGTGAGTGTCCTCCCTGTTTTATGGTGGGCATTTGTACGAGCATTTTTACAGTATCTCATGGAGTTTTTATAGGGGGCTTGGCTGAGAGAAACAATGCTTACCACTCTTCCCAACAGGATGAGTGTCTGCCTTTCGTTGTGTGATGCCTTCGGGGTGCTGCGAGATTTTGTGTGTGGCAGAGAGGGTCAGGGTCCGAGGGAAGTGAGTGGGGCTGGGCCACAGGGCACAAGGTGATGGAGAAAGGCCCCTTTTTGTGCTAACTCTGAATGACAAATCAGGTAGTCAAGCATTTATGAGGCGTAAGAATCTTCCAGGGGAATAAGTTAGCTTTTGACAGACTTAACACTCTGATTTTAGCCATCAGATGAATATTGGTTATTCAGACAGAAAGTATGTGGGGTTTTGCTCCTCATCTGGAAGCCCAAACTGTCTACACAGGGTACATTACTCAACCTCACTCAAGTTTGTTCACTTCTCCTGGTGGTAATTTCCTGCTCTGTAGGATGAGGGGCGTGGCCTTGCCTCACCGTGGGTCCTCCAGCTCAAACATTCCCCGATCTTAGGAAACTCGAACAAAACCTGAGTCTCCATTTTCCCCATGTCCTGGGTCAAGTTAAACGCTTTCCATCCTCCTTCCCAAATCTGCTGTTTGTGCATCTGCCACCATCTGAAGTTCTCTGAATGTGCATCAATATTGGCCAACACCTTTGCCACTGACCGCTGCTGGGTTTGGGGAAGTCATATAATGACTCTCTGGCCCCTTTCCCTGTACCTGGGCTCTTTGTCGGTCACCACCTGGATCCTCTAGGATGCACCAGAGATCTAGTCTGCTGTGGTCTTCAGGGAAGAGCCTGGCATGTCGTTGACGCCAGGTCAGCCACCATGCTGCACGGTGGTCCGCCCAAGCCGCCCTTCACTGCGGGTGGCATCAGGGAAAGAATTTGGAACAGCAGCCATTTTATCTCTTTCTAGTTAACTTTACAAAATACTTTCTCTCTTCTATACAGGATGTTAGGTGCTTTACACTTATTCTCACAATTCTGTGAGGAGATCATCAATATTCACCTTTTATAAATAAGGAAACTGAGTCTCAGAAATGCTAAATGGCCCAAAGTCAGAATGCTCCCAGCTGCCTCTGCTTGATGTTTGTTATTCCAAGCTTGGGAGCCGGGCTAGAGCCCAGGCAGCCAAGACAAACTGCCACAGGCCCACTGAGCATCTCCGCAGTCTGTGTCCATCCCCGAGTAAGACAGTTCAAGTGCAGGATGTTCTCAGCAGTGCTGTTTGCGTCCCCCCTTTACAGCATAAGAGGGATCATGTTATTCTCCTTAGTCTGACTTTAGCATCGCCGTCTAGACAAGAATTCCCAAGTTAATCATTTGTTTTACGGGGCTCTTCTTACCTGAACAGGCAGGTGGCCTGGCATCCTATCTTTGGAGGAGATAGGTCTAAGAAGTGATAGTATTTGATGTTACACCTCTGAAATCCAGTGAAACTTGAAACTTGAGAGTGCCCCGTAACCACGAGGCAAGTCTGAAAGGCACTGCTTTCAGAATTGCACTAGGAGGCCGTCCAGTGGAGTATGAATGCCTCAAAACCCGACTGCTCCAGTCCTTCTGGTTTCTTTCCAGGAGGGAACTTGGGCTTTTGTCTGAGACTGACTTGAGGTCAGTGCTTGCTACCCCGACTTCTAACCTTTGTGATCTCTTATGAGATGCCACATTGAAAATGGGGAACCATAGCCCATCTCTCAGTTGTGAGAGTGGAAGGAGATGGTGCACGTCCGTGCCCAGCCCATGGCAGACTCTGAACAGACAGCAGCCATTGTTAACATTACGATTACCCACATGCCCCTCTGTCTATCGAGTCTTCTGGGTTACTGAACGAGGGGGATCTAGGCCAGTCATGATCCATCAGCATAATTGACTTTTGTCTGCTTTTGTACTTTTTATAAATGAATTGTCTTTAATTTTTGATGCAGTTTCAGTGCAATCATTTCAGAACCCCATTGGCAGCTTTTGAGATGAAAATGTTGTCTGCTGAATTCTTGCACCAGCCAGGCTTTGTCCTGGAGTCCCCATCCCATCCCAGTTTTTCAGGATGCAGACTGAGAGGGGACACGTGAGCCTGAAGACCCTTAGGCGCCTCTTCCACGCACTGCATGAAATAGCACAACCCCCAGCCTGTAGTTTTAGTGGAATCCCAGCCTCACATCCTCCCTAAACTTGGCAGTAAAAGCCTTGCTCCTCCATTCATTCCAATGATTTATATTCTCTCTGGGCGTCTAATATTAAACAGGGGAATTCCGACATGTTCCATAACACATTTACTGTAACTTGATACCATGAACTAAACTTGCTGTTATTTATCATTTCTTTTTATTTTCTCTCATTCCAGCATAAAGCCAAGGTGGAAGCAATGACCCTGGACCTTGCTCTGCTCCGTAGCGTGCAGCATTTTGCTCAAGCGTTCAAGGCCAAGAATGTGTGAGTGTTCCAGTGGAGGGTTATAGATCATAATTTCTTACTGTTTTAATGTCTTTATCAGATGACCATAATTGGGAGAACGCAGGGCTGTTGTGTTGTCTTGGCATCCAAGCAGGAGGCTCATTTATATCAGCCCTGTTAAGGTGCGCCCTACTTTCCTGACTCTCATTAGGAGACGTGTCATCCATCCAGTAACAGCTTCTCAGATAAAAAGAAAAGACACTATTGAAGCACTAGTGAAAGTGGCTAATGTAAGCCAGATGAGTGTAAGATGCATCCTGATTGTAGACATTTTTGCAGCCTCGGAATCGAGGGAAGGTACATTTTAATTGCATTCAGGCAGAGGAAAGCTCAGCTCTCTGGGACTGCAAGGGGGCTGAGGATCAGAGCCCGAGAAGAAGGACCTGCTGCTCTGCCAACCTGCCATGATTCTATGTGACGTGTGCACATGGATCCAGAACCATGGACTCCCGTCTTGAGAAACTTACCCTTTTTTTCATTCTTTTTCAGCATTTCAGTATGCCTGAAGAAAGGGGCCTTAGCTAGGGGCTGGCAAATTCTTATACTGGCACACGTTAACCTCCCTTTCCAACAGAGAGAGCAGCCTCAGACCCAAAGCTGAGGCAAGCAGTGGTGGTTAGCTCCATTTTAATTATAGTATTTTGTTTCCAAGTGTTTATTTTTACGGTTCTCTCGTATTTTTTTAGGGCAAGCAATACTGGTTTCTTATTTAACATAGGGGTTTAAATTTCATTAAAAAGTAACTTCATTTAAAATTTTTTTTCCCAGAGGGTTGAATTGACCGTGAGGATTAGGTTAATAATAGTACAGTAGGTGCCGAGGACTAGATAGCTCCGGAGGTGGCACCAGCATGACGGAATTTGGAGAACACTGGTAAAATGGCAAGCCATCTTTGGGCGGGGCTCTGCTAGGATCACCAGGCAGGTGATGGGTGTAAAAGGAGGTCCTTAAACCAAATCTTCATATGGTGCAATGTGGCTGTGACCCCTCAGTGCTGTCCAGTATTCAGTTCTTCTCGTGTCTCCCTTGATTTCTCCTTCAGCAGTTTTAGATGGTTACGAGGTCTCTAACGCCCTTTCTGAAGCATGCAAGTGGCCTGAGTCCCTGAGGTCGAAGAACTGAGTGAGAGTCCTTAGTGAGAGAGCGGCATGTCCAGTTAGGGGTGGGGTGGGCTGTGCACACACAGGACTAGTGGGACAACACCCTCAGCTTGCTAGCCGCCCAGGGCAAGCCCTCCTGTGTGTGCTCCCGGTGGCATTTGGCAGTGTTGGCTGTCAGCCCTGGCCAGAGCTCTCAGACAGCCCCAAGCCTGGGGGCAGCAGTAGCTTTTAAGACATTTGCTCATTTATACCTTCACCATTCATTTATCCATGTGTTCATTCACTTAACACATTTAATGAGGGTCTCCAAAGCCCCAGGCACTTTTCCAGGTTTTAGGAAGAGAGGGGTGACCCTTGGAAGCCCGGTTATCCTGAAGCAAGCCATGGTCTCCGTTGTCAGGAGGCAGTGTTTCACGGCAAATGGCTGACTCCTCAAACTAATGCTTTTGTGGTTGTTTGAGAGAGAATAATAATAACAGTAACCACAACAGCAGCCACGGCAGCTCATTTATTGAATGCTTCTTATGGGCCATGCACTTAAGAACACTTTGCATGCATTTTCTGATTTAATTCTCAAAGCCACCCTTTGTGGTAAGTGTTATTTACTACCTCTGTTGTGCAGATGCAGGATGTGAGACCAGAAGGGTAGGTTAGTTATCTGAAGGCAGCTGGCTGGGAAACAGAGGGGCTCAGATCCTATGCGGTTCCTCCCTCCAGGGCCCCTGCTTCACCACCACGCTAAACTCTCTTTCCTTTTAAATGTGGTGGAAACAGAGATCAGAGGGAGTGAGTGGCTTTCACAGGGTCACCGGGCAGGTTGGCAGCAGACGCGGGGTTTTTATCTAGCTCTGACTCTTTCGCTCTCTCCCTGACACCATGCTGCTCTAGCCGGAGCTTAGATGTACTGCCTCTTCCCACTTCCTCTTCTGCGTCAGGCCGCAGTGGAAGTGAGCAGTTCTGCCGGGGAGCGCCAACTGTTACATAACAGCACCGTCTTCCAAGTCTTAACGGGACCATTAGTTTCTCACCATTAAGTAGTTCAAAAATCATCAAATTCCACTGCCTCTTGTAATCACCGAGGCCAAACTTTGGAGAAAGCTATCACCCATTTTGCCCTAATCTTAGCTTTTAGCAAATGAGTTCGAATTTGTGTACTTCTAGGTGCAGAAACAAGGGTGATTTTCCTTTAGCAAACGCTGTACCACACACCTCTTTTTAGATGTCTCTCGAGAGAACAGTGTGCTGTATGTTTTAGGGAAATATTGTGGTGGTGAAAATATGCATAAAAAAGGGAGTGATTTCAACTTTTGAAATGCTGCCAAAGTGAAATCTCTCCTGGATAGGCAGATGACAGTTCAGTACTTACGGGTCTTTAGATTCTGAGAACTGTCAGAAGTGAATTTAAGTGCTGGTGACCGGGCTGCCAAAAAAACATGTGTAGCTCTATTCGTATAATCACCTCCCATCTTTAGACATTAAAACCTCCTTGTCTGTAAAACATAATGACACATGAAAGAAAGGCTGCCAGTTCAGAGCCAGTCTCTTCATGCGCTGGCGGACTGAGGGGAGGAAAAACCCTTACATTTAAATCCCGTGCGGATGCCCCCATTTAATATTCCATTTTAAAGCTGGTCTGTGAGCGCCCCGGAAGTGTTTCCGGCCCCTTTTGCCTGTGTGTGTTCCCTGGGCTCACGCTCCAGCTCAGAGTGTTTCTTCGCCCCGGGATTAGGTGCATATAATGTATCCTGAGTCTAAAGAAGTAGAGAGAAGTATGAAATGCAGACCTGGTGGAAGACGCAGCTCACTGTGGTCTGGAGCCCCCCTTTACCTGCGTCTGCTAGGAGGAGCTGTGGATTAGCCCGTTGGGGACATCTGCTTCTTCTTCCTTTGGTGGGTAGAGGGCAGGGGGAGGGAGAGCATTTCCCAATGAGCACTGCTAGCATAACTATGCAAAATCATGGCTTCTCATCAACTTTTTGTTTTTTTTGTGCAAGGCAGTGTGCTAAGTACTTATGCATGGGGTCTGTCTTTCATTTCTTACAATAACCCTGGGCATTAGGCATTTTGATCTCTATTTTACAAATTGAAAGGCTCCAGCTTTTCAGAGAGCAAGAGTCTAATGACTTCCCCAAGTGTAGCAAGTGGTGCATTCCAAAATGTGAATCCAAGTCTGTCTGAACTCAAAGCGACTCTTGCTCTCGTTGGGTCTCACACTCCAGTCCTATTTTTCAGTGTGGATTTCTGTATTGGAATGTGTTGCCAAGTAATATGCTACTTTGAAATTTAGTGGCTTAAAACCACTTGAAACAATAAACATTTCTGTTCACTCTCCCTCTTTCAGTTTGTTTAAATCAGGATTCAAATAAGGTCAATACATTGTGATCAATAGGTTTTTCTTCAATTGTTTTTCTTTAAAAATTATTAACACAACATTGTATTTGTTGAAGCGTCCAGGTTGTCCTCTAGAGTTTTCTGTAATCTCTAATGGCTGCATACCTGGGGTGTCGTTTAACGTATTCTATTGTTGTCTATGTTTCCTGTGAAATGGTAGGTAACTCGAGAGGCTCAAGCGAATTCCTGTTTAGTGTTTCTGGCCAGCACGGTTCATGGACGGTGGTGAAGTCTTCCATCGAGAGGACGCTGGTTGCCAGAGCACACTTTCCGAAGGCTCAGCTCGCCCTGACCAGCCCATTTCTCTGCCCACTCTCCCTTTGTCTGCCCACCCCCATTTTCACTCATTTGTTGCATTATTCTCCACTCACTCTTCTGGGTGGTCAGCCCAGGAGGCCTCAGTCTGCTTCCAGACAGTTCTCCTCAGAGTTAGTGCTGGTGGTGGTCAGCCAGTGTGTCTCAGGTCGAATTATTTTGGGCGTTACTAAAAGTTCCAAACCGAAGCCTGTGGTGAGTTCCAACCCAACTGAATTTTGAAGGATATTTATGTTTGAACTGCAGCCCTGGAGAGCAGCCAGACTCCACACTGCCAGCAGGCGGGGGCACGCACCAGAGTGTGCTGTGCCGGGACCCTTCCTGATCGCTCAGACGGACATTGGGAGTTTCAGTGATGGGCTCCGAAATAATAACATGTTGTTTGTGATGAGCTGGCACATTTTCATCCCTGGAGCTGGCTGCTTCAGTTACGCAGAAGCACCCATTTTTGGATAGGGCCTGGAATAGTTCAGTAGCTCCTAGAACTAGGAACTCTGTACGTATTTTCTGTTCGGATGTTTTATAGTTTGAGTTCCACGTATTCCTGAACTAATGGATACCTGGATTCCAATCCTGGAATTTTAAATGTTGGTGATGGCACATGATACAGAGCAAACGCATTGTTTGGAAACCAGTTACCAATCAGCTCTTATAATACTGACCAAGGGCTTTGGTTCACTGTGGGAATTAATTGCAATCAACAATGAGTTCATATTGACACAACACATACAGTTCTAAAGGCTTCTAGAACTTTATTTTTTGATGATGGATTTCTACTTTCTCTTCTCAACTTTCTGCCTCCAGTATAATTTAAAGAAATTAGGTGTTCTTTTGCTTAAAAAATAATATAGGATAGTAATGTTTATAAAAGAAAAGATTAACAGTTTTCTACCCCCTCTTTACTTTTTAAACATTTGAGGGAGAAAAATCTTTAGCAAAGTTATTTATTTTCACTTTTTACTAAATTACTTTCAGAACTTGAATGTACTAATCCCACATAAAATATTCTTGGATTCCTATTCTAAATTTTGCTGTCTCAAATCCTTCTATGGAAGTGGGTGGGCTATAAATTATAAATAAATTCCAAATTTTGAGGGATAAATTACCCTAAAGACCAATGTGTAAATTATAGCTTAATCTTTCTTTTTCTCCTCAGCTCAATTTTAAGAATAA